GGGTTGCAGGCTTGATCCCCAGTGGGGGGCGTGCAGGAGGCAGCTGATCAATGCTTCTCTCTCATTATTTATGTTTCTATCTCTCTCTTCATCTCCCTTCCTCTCTGAAATCAATAAAAATATATTTTTAAAAAAAGGAAAAAGAAAAGATAAGCTATCTTCTTGGAGCCAGAGTACAGTTCTAGAAAGCGTCTTGAGATAGCAGTAAGAGATGCAAGCTTATCCAGCCTCAGGGAAGGAAAGATAAGGGGCAATTGGTAGTTAGGGCTTCATTCACTGGGTGGAGATGAGGTCATCTTAGTCCTTCATCTAGAAATAGTTCAAGCAATGTCAACATCAAAACTTGAAGGTAATTATACATCTCTGGATTGACAGTAGGTGAAATGAAAATACGATTTGTGTTAAAATATTCCATCAGATGCATCATTGTTCAGCATTTTCATTAAAATAATCCATGGGTTCATTAATCAGATATGGACTGAGTACTGTCTTTAGGCATTACTCTCAACAATAAAAAAATCAATGGTGACGAAGAGGGAAGGGTCCTGCCCTCAGAATTTATGTTATAATCGGGAGAAATGGGCAATAAGGAATTAAAAATAAATATAAGAGAAAAGGCAGAAGCGATGAAAAGTGCTGCACAGACCACATTACAGAAGAATGGCGATGTGCTGGCGAGCTATTCCCTTCTGGCAGGGTGGACAGGAGAGGCGTTTCTCACCAGGCTGCATTTAGGCTGAGGGAGGAGTAGAAGAAACGGGATCAGATGAAAACATTCAGGCAGAACAGACAGCAAAATCTCAGCTGGTCACAATGTTGAGGTTTTAGAGCAGTGGTTCTCAACCTTGGCTGCACATTAGAATCACCTGGGAATCTTTTTAAAATCCTGATTTCTGGGCCTCATCCTCCGGAAATTCTGTTTCTTTGTTACTCATGTTGTGGCCCCACCCCATAACAAAGAAACAATTTCTGGAGGGTGAGGCCCAGAAATCAGGATTTTAAAAAGATTCCCAGGTGATTCTAGTGTGCAGCCAAGGTTGAGAACCACTGCTCTAGACCCAGGACCCAGACTGTAAGAGGTTTGAAATCTTTTTACTTAGAGACTCGTTGTTATTTCCTTTTTTATTGTTGACTCTATTAGAGATGGAGATGTGCCCCATTTTCTCCCCTTTGCCTCCTTCCACCCTGCCTGCAACCTCCTGATTGCCAGTTTCACATAATTAGTAACTGGAAAGCTCTTTTTTTGTTGTTAATCCTAACCGGTGGATATTTTTTCCATTGTTTGTTTGTTTGTTTTTGTTTTTTTTGTTTTGTTTTGTTTTGTTTTTAGCGAGAATGAAAGGGAAGGAGGGAGAAAGAGAGATACAGAGAAACATTGATATGAGACACATCAGTTGGTTGCCTCCACATGGCCAGGGCCAGGGAATGAACCTGCAACCCAGGTACGTGCCCTTGACCGGAAATCAATCCTGTGACTCTTCAGTATTTGTTTGTTTTTGTTTTTTTTGTTTTGTTTTGTTTTGTTTTTAGCGAGAATGAAAGGGAAGGAGGGAGAAAGAGAGATACAGAGAAACATTGATATGAGACACATCAGTTGGTTGCCTCCACATGGCCAGGGCCAGGGAATGAACCTGCAACCCAGGTACGTGCCCTTGACTGGAAATCAACCCTGTGACTCTTCAGTGCACAGGCCGATGCTCTAACCACTGAGGGCACCAGCCAGGGCTGTAACTAGAAACCTCTTAAGACATCAACAGCCTGTGTGCTTATTTTTAGGGTCAGCGAGGCATGTGGAGAAGCGGAAGTGAGGGACAGAGTGGGAGGTGGCAGCTGACAAGAAGCGCAGATACTAAGCCCATTCCTTCTGGCTCACAGGACAGGTCTTGAGCCTGAGATGGGCCTGGAGTTTAAAGCAGAAGTGGATGAATTATGTCATGATGCCATGTTATCTTCTCGGTGGGCACTCGAGCTCAGCGTGGCTGCTTCCAGGCCTGATTGGAAGTGAGGCGACAGTGAAATGGATGGCTGTGAAGTGACAGCAACAGATGGGCCTCGCTAGCATGAGGCAGCCAGAGGCATGCAAAGTTTAAACAAAAATCCTCCCTCCTGAGCATGACAGACCATAGAGAACAGGTGACATCATTAGCGAAAGGTCAGGTATAAATATAGCGAGCTTGTTTAAGGCAGCTGGGCATGGTCTGGCCTTAGCAATCATATTCATGTACCTGGGAGGTAATGTGGAAACTCCGTGTGTATCCATCTCTATGGAATTGAGTCCAATCTATTGTGGTTGATGTCTTAATGAGAACACAATGGTTATAATATATTAAAACTAGAGGCCCAGTGCATGGAATTTGTGCACTTGGGGGGGGGGGGGGGTCCCCTCAGCCCGGATTGCGAGAGGGTGCAGGCCAGGCCGAAGGACCCCACTGGTGCAGGATCGGGGCAGGGGAGGGATGTGGGAGGTTGGCCAGGTCGGGAGGGACCACAGGAGGGCTCCAGGGCATGTCTGGCTCATCTCACTCAATCTGCTCAGTCCCAATTGGCCGGACCCCAGCAGCAAACTAATCTAACAGCCAGAGCATCTGGCCCCTGGTGGTCAGTGCACGTCATAATGAGCGGTTGAGTGGCCTTAGCATATCATTAGCATATTATGTTTTGATTGAATGAATGGCCTACCGGATACTTAGCACATTAGGCTTTTATTATATAAGATTAAAATGGATCTACCAACAGAGCAGAAGGGTCTGTTATAGCAGCCAAATGTAAGCTCCCTTCCTGCCCAGACTTTTGGCACATAATTTTAATCAACTACGGAAGTCAACAGAAAATCTCAGTCGCATGTAATTTGTAGATGTCTTGAAACCCGTGAATGAAATCAAGGGCAATGTTTGGCTAGTGTTCATTTTATGCAGACAAGGTTCCGAGTTCATCTGTTAAGCCTCAAGAAGGATTCTTTGGCATTTCCGATCTGATTATTACTGGCTTGGACCCAGTGTAGACTAGTGATTAAGCCATAATAGGCTTTAGTTTCTATTATTAATCGCTTAGACTGGAAAGGTTTATCAGACCCAAAGCTATTAAACGTTTAAAATTCTGGAGTTTTTTCCTCACTTGCTAAATACTGAAGCCCGGAGGCTTTTGGTCCTACTGCTTTCATGTATGAAGCAATTGGAAAATGCTAATGTGTATGTGTGTACACTTCCATGTGCTCACACACTCATGTGCATTCACATGTACGTGTTCTATAGTCTTTCAGGGATAAGCCCTCACCTTTACAAAATATTGTAACTTAGATTAGCAAAGCTGAGAAACACTGCAGCCTGTTCATGCATAAACCAGGTGCGGGTGCCCGGGGCCGCATCCCAGGGGCCGCCTGGAATGAGTCTGTTTCAGAAGTGGAAGTGAGCTTCAGCAGATGTTGCTGTGCCCACCGGATTCTGAGTGGCCTAATTCTTCAGCACATGCACGTGGGAACTTGCTTCTGAGTTGGATTCTAATGTGAAAGGGATCAGCATTGCCCTTGGGACTAAAACTCCCCAAAGGAAAAGGGGTACACATGAGTTCAGCTCAGAAAAGGCCACGGCAGTTACAGAAACACCTGGGAGAGATGCCAGATACGACAATAGTTTTGCACACATATCACCTCGTAAGGTCTTTCAAACCGTGTAGGAAGTTGAGTTGTTTCACAGAAGGGCAGTCAACCACCTTCCTGGGCGTCCTGTTTCATTTTACTGAAAGTGCTGATATTTCAAAGAGAGAAAGGGACTACTCGGAGGACTTCCGATTACCAAAATGGAGCATAAGGGGGAAATCGCTCTGAGTCCTGCGCACGATGACGTAGAGAGTCTGAAAGTGTATTCTTGTGGAAACGGCTCTACAGGAATAGAAGATGTGGAAGCATAACCCACAGGCAGAGTTTGGGACATGAGTTCAGCTCAGAAAAGGCCACGGCAGTTACAGAAACACCTGGGAGAGATGCCAGATACGACAATAGTTTTGCACACATATCACCTCGTAAGGTCTTTCAAACCGTGTAGGAAGTTGAGTTGTTTCACAGAAGGGCAGTCAACCACCTTCCTGGGCGTCCTGTTTCATTTTACTGAAAGTGCTGGTATTTCAAAGAGAGAAACGTACTACTCGGAGGACTTCAGGTTACCAAAATGGAGCATAAGGGGGAAATCGCCCTGAGTCCTGCGCACGATGACGTAGAGAGTCTGAAAGTGTATTCTTGTGGAAACGGCTCTACAGGAATAGAAGATGTGGAAGTGTAACCCACAGGCAGAGGGTGGGATTTCGCTTTGGATGCAGCTGCTCATTTATTAAAGGGTTTCTCTTTTGGTCTCAGTCAGGGGTTATGTCCAGCTGCATGGACCAGAAACACAATTACAGCGGCTTCACCAACGAGGGGTTTCTTTTTCTCACATCGCAAGTCTAGACAGAGACAGGCAACGTTGGCCGCATGATGTCCTCCGCATCCTGGACCTACTGTGTCTTGTTGTTCCTTCATCCTCATGGTGACTTCATGGTCACAAGAGAGTGTTCTCAGCCTCTCCTCTCTCTTCTGTACCCAGACAGGAAGAGTAGGAAAGCTCTGAACAGGAAGGGCAGGGGCCTGTCTGCTACTGACATCAGCGGCTGCGGCACGGGAAGAGGAACCTGTCTCTCACAGGTACGTGAAGTACTTAAAAGCCTGCCCGGATTCAGGAATAAGGTCTGTTGTTTCCTTCAAGCTATTTCATGTACTATGTTCTTTCAATGCAGTGCAACTAAAGACACTCTATTCTTGTTTAATGTGGCTTATTTCCCCTGCCCATGTTTGAATCTTTATTCTGCTGACTTATTTTATGAGTGGGTCCTCCCTCCATCAAAATGACAGTTTTCCAAATGTTATCTTTGCTCTGAACTCTTCTTTCTTTTAGCAGCTATTCCCAGTGAGAGGCTGTATCTGACAAGTGCGTTCTCACTGTTGTGCAAGGGCTTTGGGAATGTCCGTGCCCATTCCATCAGCCTCGCTCTCCTCCCGCATTCTTCCTGAGGAGACTAACTGCGCATATATTTCCTGGGGATGTGTCAGAATCCCCCATCTCCTCTCTGTGCTTGACGATTGCTGGTGGCTTTTCTGTAGCGTGTTTATATTCTCAGAGTCTGTGCTGTTAAAGCTGATGTCCCCTCTCACTTCAGTAACCGTTCAGTAAGTACCGAACGTTTGCGGAATGTGACTGCTGGTGACCCTAACTGTGCCTTCTGTCGCATGGTGCCACCGTTGTCCCTCTTTCTGTTAATTCCACCTGTAATGATTTTAGACTTTATTATAACTTTAGGAATATTGAGGATCATCTTTGCGTGCTCCCTTCTTTATGGAATAAAGGGTAAAGGGGCTGATCTTTCCATGAATTAGTAATGGAAAGTGTTTATATTAGAGACTAAAACCCAGAGAAGTAGCCTGCATCTCTCCTGTTTCTTATCCCACCCTCTCTGTCTTTAACCCACTTTTCCCACCGGGTCCCATGAGATACACCACATGTTCACAGCATTTTCAAGGCATTTTTTCATTTAGCCTCGTGCTGTCTTGATAGTCAGGCATTGACTTTGACAAGGACAATTACTTAATAATAATGTAATATTTTGGCACATGGGCTCTCCTACAATTATATGGTTAGTAGGAAAAATGATCAGCTATGTAATATAATCTGATAGAGACTAAAATAAAATGTAAAAGCTGATCTAAATGTACTTTTGAAATAAATAGACCAAGGGAAGGAAAGCTGGCTTGTGTTTTATAAAAAAACAAAACACCATAAAATTAAATATAAAGGAAGAGTACAAAGCAGTGGCTGTTTATAAAATAGATGGGTTATTGGATATTTTTATCACAGAATCATGACATAATTCTTACACATTTGAAGGAAAATAGGCACGAATTAGAATTATCTATAGCAAAGGACTGAGTAGAGAATGAACAAGGTACCGAAGTGGTTTAACCTGCCCACATCCAAATGGTGGTAAGACAGGACCAGGTGTGCAGGGCTGGTGGACAAGGATGGAGGCAGGTGTCCAGTTGAATGAGGGAGGATTAACCTGCCCACATCCAAATGGTGGTAAGACAGGACCGGGTGTGCAGGGCTAGTGGACAAGGATGGAGGCAGCACGGCACCCAGTTGAATGAGGGAGGGCACAGGGAAGAAGGGGTTGGGCATAAATATGTAAATCTGAGGCTGGGTGTGTAAGATACTCCGGGGTAAAGCAGACCTGTCCCATTAGCCATGGGTTCTGATCACGGGAATGTAATTAATAAAGCACATGGTTGGAAACTACATTATATCACATGCTCTTATCAATCACCATGCACATAGTTTACACGCTAATGGAGGGTTGCAGAGAAGATAAGTTTATGAATCAAAACGGGTGAGTAAAGACGATCAATTGACATCACTTTGAAATTTTGGAAATCCTTGCCCTGGCATGAGGAAGGTTTATTTTTCCATTTTATGTCAGTTCTGTGATTTAAGCTCATTTATTTTTTGTACTGTTTCTTCATTAATATGAACATCTAGTCACTTCTTCTCCTCTACATTTAAACGCTTAATGACAACTAAATTTCCCACTCCTTTCACATTTGTATTCTTTAAGGCCCTTTTAGTATCTTCCTAAAAAACACCACCAAGTCTCCCCACAAACAAGGATCTGACATGTCAGGTTGTGGGAGTGGTGAAGGGCTACCCTCTGAGTAAGCAGGAAGTACTCCAGGGAGAGGAAGCCCTGTTCAGGAACAGATCCCTCACCAAGCTCCCAGCTAGACTCCCACTGGGGCATAAATATTTCCCTTTTAAAAAGAACATAACTCTCCCAGCCACTGTGGCTCAGTGATTGAGCATCAACCTATGAACCAAGAGGTCACGGTTTGATTCCAGGTCAGGGCACATGCCCGGATTGCAGGCTCCATCCCCAGTAGGAGCCATGCAGGAGGCAGCCGATCAATGATGCTCTCTCATCATTGATGTTTCTATCTCTCGCTTCCTCTCCCTTCCTCTCTGAAATCAATAAAAAAATATATATATTTTTTTTAAAGAAAATAACTCTAACTCGAGAAAGGTTATTTTTGCACTTAGCATCAGTTCTTTAAATCAGAATATCCCTGGCCTGCCCCTCTCCCACAGTTTTCTTCCGGTGTTCTCCCAATCATGAGGCCAGGTGTGCAAAGGAGAATTCGCCTCAGCGTTCTCCAGGGGGCGCTGTCCTGCCTCTCCACCGCTCCCTCCAAGGCTCCCTCCTCACACCTGGGCAGTCCATTGTTCCCTGCTCCCTTGCCCATGAGTAGTTACGTCTTCAGTTTGGAAGAATATGTGCTAGCTACCGTATCGATGGATTCACTCACGCAGCCTGAAAACTTCCTTCAGAGATGAGAACAGTTCGGGGGAGCCAAGACCTCTTGCCTGCACAGCATGGCATAGACTCGAGGACCACTAAGCCCTCGAAAATGCAATTGCGACAGTCAGGAAAAGAGAAGGGACAACAGCGAGTCCATGGAAAGGCTCGGTGAGAGGAGGACAGTGAAAACTGTCTGTGGGAGTCTGTGGAGGTGTCCGGGGCAGGGGGTGGGAGGACATAGGTCAGCAACAGGTGAAAGGGCTTTAGAAAGAGACAGAAAGTTCATCAAAACAAATGTGTTATACCCAAAGCTTTTGGAGAAAGCTGAAGTGGGACAGGGATCGCTGTCTATGCAGCAGACAACTTTGGAGGAGAAATCCCAGTAGGAGCCATGCAGGAGGCAGCCGATCGATGATGCTCTCTCATCATTGATGTTTCTATCTCTCGCTTCCTCTCCCTTCCTCTCTGAAATCAATAAAAAAATATATATATTTTTTTTAAAGAAAATAACTCTAACTCGAGAAAGGTTATTTTTGCACTTAGCATCAGTTCTTTAAATCAGAATATCCCTGGCCTGCCCCTCTCCCACAGTTTTCTTCCTGTATTCTCCCAATCATGAGGCCAGGTGTGCAAAGGAGAATTCGCCTCAGCGTTCTCCAGGGGGCGCTGTCCTGCCTCTTCACTGCTCCACCCAAGGCTCCCTCCTCACACCTGGGCAGTCTGGGCAGTTGGTTGTTCCCTGCTCATTCGTTCATGAGTAGTTACGTCTTCAGTTTGGAAGAATATGTGCTAGCTACCATATCGATGGATTCACTCAAGCAGCCTGAAAACTTCCTTCAGAGATGAGAACAGTTCAGGGGAGCCAAGACCTCTTGCCTGCACAGCATGGCATAGACTCGGGGACCACTAAGCCCTCGAAAATGAGACTGTGACAGTCAGGAAAAGAGAAGGGACAACGGGGAGTCCACGGAAAGGCTCGGTGAGAGGAGGACAGTGAAAACTGTCTGTGGGAGTCTGTGGAGGTGTCCGGGGCAGGGGGTGGGAGGACATAGGTCAGCAACAGGTGAAAGGGCTTTAGAAAGAGACAGAAAGTTCATCAAAACAAATGTGTTATACCCAAAGCTTTTGGAGAAAGCTGAAGTGGGACAGGGATCGCTGTCTATGCAGCAGACAACTTTGGAGGAGAAATGCTATGAAAGGAAGGTTGGTTAGAATTAGAATAGGGGCCAGCCACCGCTTTCCATACAGGGTCTCCTAGTGAATGTTTTAGGCGTTGCCGGCTAAGAGGCAAAATTGAGGACATGATGGAGCCATTTATGTAACAAGAGAGAGAAAGTTCCACACATCTTTTTGTTGATGAAATTCAAAATATAATGATGATAATTAAATTCATTTTTAAAAATATAGGTGTAATGATGAGATGAAAGGAATTCCCTTTTGTGGGGAGGATAACGTTTTATTTAACTGAGGTTCAAACTTAGTTTTCACTATCATCAAAATTGATTGCAGATTCATCGGTCAGTGTTGATCCAAAATGAGATTTTTAAGTTTTTCTTCTTGGAAAGTATCTTTTCACACAGATCGCTGTTGGGAATCACTGGAGTCAATATAGCAGCACCTGGTTTTAATGGAGCATATTCATCAAGGGGAAGGCATATATAACTCCATTATATTTTTCTCCTGATATTTGACTTTAGCACATCATTATATTGCATATAGGTAACTTCCAAAAGGAGATTAGGTGGGAGCTTGTCAATGGCACAGTTCATTGGATTTTGAAATATGAAGGGTTTCCCCCTATCTCCCAGCACTTTGATTAAGGTCCAATGCTGCTGGGGGGAATATATAGTTTGAACTTGCAAAATATATCTCCTGTAAATATTTGTGGGAATGGAGATCTTGTTTTTCGTTGTTTTTATCTAAATATATTTGTATTGATTTCAGAGAAGAAGAGAGAGGGAGAGAGAGAGAGAGATACACTGATTGGCTGCCTCCTGCCTGCCCGCCTCTGGAGAATGAGCCCGAAACCGGGGCATGTGCCCTGACCTGGAATTGAACCCTGACCTCCTGGTTTATAGGTTGGCACTCATCACTGAGCCACACCAGCCAGGCAAGACCAGGGTCTTAATGTGCCTTTCCACTAATGTAGTTAGTAACCCACAATGAAGAGGACCAATCAGTTAATTTCTCTATCACCTCCTAGAAATTTGCTTTAGCCGAGTGGCTTCATATAAGAAAGAAAAACTCTAATTGGGTGTGTCTATGCATTTTTCTTTTCATCATCTCACTGTTGTGAATGAA